TATTTAGGCACCAGCCCTGTGAATTTGGCAGCTGGCCTGGTACAAGCAGGTAGTTTTGTCACTGTGTTTTGGGTGGCAGCAGTGCTATCTTCCAGCAGCACAGCAGGACATGGCTGCACGGGTGGGTGTCCACCTCCTCAGCTAGGGAAGTGTTCCAGGTCTCTCTGCTCTCCAGGAAAAGCCTGTTTATCTTGGCCCTCTTCTCCAAAGAGCCAGGCTTTGGGGCCCCAGAACTGAGTAGGCATGTTCAGGGAGAAACAACTGGGAAACATGAGGGGCTGAGTGAAACAGCCACTTCTAATTTAAGGTTGGCCAGTGGTGCAGCATCTGGGGACTCCCTCCAGTTGTCCAGCTTGGGTTTTCTGTGGAAAGTTCCTCTGCTAGGAACAGCTGTCACTGTCCTTCCTTCCGTGTGTCACAGGGAATAAATGAACTCCAGTTGGCCTCTTTAATAACACATGCAGCTCAAGCTTTTGTTTCTCTCTTTCCCTCAGGGCAATTTCTCCTGGCAAAAGGAGGGAAAGAAATAAATGCACGTCCCTTGTGTCTGGAGATAATTTGGCTTCATTTATCACATCCTGGGCCAGAGGTTGCTCTCCTATGGGTTCATCCCAGAGGCTGGATTGGAGCCTGCTGGCGAATGCAAGTTTCAGCATCTGACCCATCTCAGACCCCAGTGAGCTCTGAACCAGGCTGTTGTACGCTAACCCTGTGTTTGGATCCATTTCTTATTGTGATAATTGAGTCATGCTGAGCCTGCACAGCATCTGCTTCAAGACTTCAGCCCTACCACATAGGCTAAAATTATCTTTAGGTTGAAAAGCTGCTGCCTTTGGGCTTGTTCAAGGCTGAGCTTGGCTCTGCAGGCCCCTCTTGCCGCTGCCTTGTGAGCAGTGCCAGGCTGTTCATGCATGGGTTCGTTCACAGCTGCCTGTGGCCCCTGGCTGGGTGTGCTGGTGGTGGTGGCTGGGACAGCTTGGGGACACCTTGCAGGGTGTGTTTGAGCAGGGACAGGCTGCTTCTGCAGGCAAGGAGCACTGTGGGACCCTCTGCTTCCTAATTGTCCCAGGCTGTAGCGTCTGTGTGCAGATCTGGCCACCCAGGCCTGCTGCCAAGCAACAGCAAGAGCCAGGAGCCCAGAGATGCTTATTTTTCTCTCTTTATGTGTTGTGTTTTTTTTTTTTAATTCCCTCATTGTGAGGAATGTCACCCCCAGCAGTACTGTCCCAGAGAGCTGTGGGTCGGGAAGCAGCATGAGAGAGGTTACCAGACCCTGCTGCCATCCGGTGTAATTCCCCAGCTCCCGGTGTGCTGTGGAGTGTGTCACCCTCAGGGCCACTGAGCAGTGGGAGGGGAACAGCCACAGTGAAGCCAGTGCCAGCCCAGCTGTCTGCCAGGGCTGAGGCACGAGAGTGGTCTAACAAATGCCTCTGTCAGGATCAGCCACGGACAGAACTGCACCCCAGGAAAAACCCTATGCTCCTCTGTTTTTACAGGTCTGATGCCAAACTCAGAGCTGTGTCATCTGTCAGAGCAATTTGTTCTCAGGGAGGGAAGGAGAAGTTGTTTTCCAGCAGAAGCGGGTTGGCTGTGGCCACAGGAGCACACTGAAGCCTGTAGCAGCAGGGAACAGGATTTATCCTGGTGTGATCCTCACACCAGCAGGAAGTTTGCATCGGGAATATGCAGGGACCATGAGGTAATTGTGTTGCTCTCAGAGAACCCCAAGTCAGGGGCAGGAGATATTAAACAGGCCTGTGGATGTGTAGCAGAAGTCATCCTGGCAACATCTTGCAGATTTTAACACAAATCTCTCAGATCCTGGAAGACACACAAGCACGTGGCTCTCAGTCTTAATGACTGAGAAAAAACCTGCCTGTTTCAGATTCTGTTGGTGTTTCACTGTTTAACCCTGTCCGTGTGAAATCGAACAGCCTTCTGGCTGCCAGTGGGAAGCAGAGGGCACTTCTCTGTATTCAGTCCCAAGCGAGGTGTTGTAGTTGCCAGGCATGAGAGCACAGAGAACACGGCAGAGTTTGCTTAGCCTTGCTAAGGCACTTGAAAAGCAGCTGGGGAAAGAGAGAAAAAACAGTCTTCCAGTTTCATTATTTTTACAACCTCATTTTTTAGCTAGTCAGCATAACTCACACTGAGCCTCTGCCAAGCAAAACACAGTTATTCTTGTTTGGGGTTTGCCTGTGATTTCCATGGGAGTGGTGGGCCTGGAGGGGGCTGGCTGGGGTTTGACTCCTGTGCTTTGGTCGGCTGCACTGGAAATGTGTCCTGCTTTCACAGAGACAGTGGTGATGGGGCACACTCTGCTCAGGGGCTTTTTTTTACAAGTTATTTTAGGTATCTGCAGTTAACACCCTCACCCTTACAGTGCTCACCTTTCTTTAAAATAATGTCTTATTACTTTTAAAAAAATCTGTTTTCCTCTCCATGTTAGATGACAAGACTCAGAAAAACTAGTGAAGAAAACTCTCTCTGTGCACAGCAATTGTACAAAGCATTGGGAAGCACGCAGAGAAAAACTGCTGGAAGAAAATGGCACAGTGTCTGAGTTTTGTAAGGAGGTGAGACCACCTGTGTGATGAGTGTTGTTGCAATAAGGAAGAAAAAATTCAAGCAAAAAGGAGACTTTCTCACTTTAAAAATTACTTTTAACTTTGTTTTTAAAACTTCCTAGAAATGTAGCTGAAATAGCCATAGGCTGGAAGTGACTGGCTGCAAATGGAAAAAATCTGCTACACATGTGCAGCTGAAACGCAGAGCCTGAGCAAGGTACGTGGTCCACTCGAGGGGACTCACTTTGGGCTGGGGTGGGTCTGGATTTTGTCACAGGATCAGGGGTCTTTTTGGATAGAGGGAAGAGTGCTGGTTTAACTGTATTAAAAAATGAGGGTGTAATCAGGGCTGCCACTCAAGTATTTCCTGGTGCACACAGGACCTGAGTGCAACACCCCCTTCAAACCAACCCTGGATTGGCCTGTTCACATCGCCCCGCAGCTTGAAAATGCCTTCAGTGGACTGTCAAAGAGGAGGAGAGAGGAGGACGGGCTGCACGTCCTGGTTTGAAAAGACAAATGCTGCCCTTCATGGAGAACCAGGGGGGCAGAGAAGCTGCTGGCTGTCCTTCCAGGCTCCAGAGGAGGCGGCCGGGGGTCCCAGCCGTGGGCAGAGCGAGGACATGCTGGCTCTTGGGGCAGCAGCTGAATTGCATCCTGGCACAGAACCACACCTCTCCATTTGCTCGTCTTCCCCAGGGTCGGTGGCGATGGCAGAAAAGCATCGGGACAAATGCAATGAAAGAGCCCGCACTGGAATCGAGGCAGGAGCACCTGAGTGGCTGGTGCTGAGCTCCCTGACCTGGACTGGCTGTGCCGGGCTCCTGGCGGGCAGTTGCAGGCAGCGGTG